GCTTTCTTGGATTGACTTTAAGGGTATGGCCTGATGGATGAAGGTGGCCATTTGGTTTGGCTAGTAAGCACCTCACTGTTAGGCTTCAAGCGGCCCATTTGTGCCCATGTTCCCTCCTACTCCAGTGCCTTATAAAAAGGACAGTCTGATACTAGCATAGTTTACACCCAGGCAGTCAGGACATCCACATATCAAATGACTCAATGCCATTTTCTCCAGGTAGACCAGAAGTCTACACAACTCTTCCTTAACACTCAGCTCTTAAAAATTCTTTTCTCCATTTCAGACCAGCAATTGTGTGTGTGTGTGTGTGTGTGTGTGTGTGTGTGTGTGTGTGTGATTCCTGGGGCTTGAACTCAGGGCCTGATCTCTGTCCCTGAGTTTCATTGCTCAAGGCTAGCACTCTATTACTAGAGCCACAACTTCACTTCTGGCTTTTTGTGGTTAACTGGAGATAAGAATCTCATGGACTTTTCCTGCCTGGTCTGACTGGAACCATGATCCTCAGATCTCAGCCTACAGAGTGAAAGCACCAGCCCAGAGAACCACACAAACACACCATCACTTACAGCAAAAAGGGGCTTACTGTCAGCCAAAGCTGACAGGCTACTGAGAGACTTCACTGATAATAAACCCCACTGATAATAAACCCCACTGTGTATCCGTATGGTTCTCTGGGCTGGTGCTTTCCTGGAATATCTAGGATTACAGGCGTGAGCCACCAGCACCCAGACTAGCAATTTTGAGATGTTGCCCATGCCACATCTGAGCACTATTGTATAGCTGTATAGCTGTCAATATATTGCCCCTTTTGCCTCTATTTATAAATAACAAAAATAACCTGTGGCCCCAAAGCAGATAGATTCTCTCCAAGAAAGACCCAATTACTGAAGATCTAGTGTAAGAGCAAGCCATAAATACCCCAGTTGCTTCATTTGAGAGAATGAAAGAAACCAGTCTCCCATGGAGGAAACATTTAAGACTCAGTGCAAAACTCTGGGCTAAGTCTATTGGCAGATCATGTATCATGGATGCTGGGGGCTCTAGAGGCTTCCCTCATTCAGTGTATGTCAGGTTCACATACCATAGAGAATGCGGTGGAGACCAGAGACTGTCAGATTTCTACCAGTGGAACTTTCACTGTGGGAGGGATGGCTTGGGGCTCTAAGCTGTCAGCCTTGGTAGAGTTCCAGTAAAGACTGATGGAATATGCCCTGGCCTGGAGGGAAAGAAAGACTTTGGGGGTGGAGGCTGGAGGTAGAGTGCTGGGAAGAAAGAGAAGAAGAAGGAAGAAATGGATGTTCTCGGAGCCCACCCCTTTACAATCCTGACATTATCCCTTTCAACCTTGTAAGGTCAGCCCTGAGCAGACACCTCTCTGCCTCTTGGCTAAGTTTCTACCCAGTATCTGTGTTACCTAGGTGACTGGCACACCTGGAAGCAGCATCTCCCCCTCCTTCTAGGTCACAACTGGATCCAGTGTGACCACACTTTTCCTCTACCTGTACACACTTCTTCCTGTCCCTGGCCTAGATAAATCCTGGGGTGGGGGTGGAGGTCACCCCTTTTTCTGCCACGCCTCTTCACCGTGCAGGGTGGGGACAGCAGTTCGGTAAATAAACTTCCCTTCTTGCCTGAAATTGCACGTGGTGTTCTAGTCATCGGCTACTTAATGAAACCTACCTATTTAATAATATACCTTACAAACTCCTCAACTCAAACAGCCTCTATGCAACACCCTGATCCGTTTGTCATTTTTCTCAGCCTCCAAAGGTGGTTCTAGAACTTCAGTTCTTTTTTTTTTTTCCCCCTGGTGTGGGGCCTGAGCTCTGAGCCTGGGTGCTGTCCCTCAGCTCTTCAGCTCAAGGCGAGCGCTCTACCACGTGAGCCACAGCGTCACTTCCAGTTTTTTCTGCTTATGTGGTGCTGAATCAAACCTAGGGCCTCATGCATGTAAGGCAAGCACTCTACCACTGAGCCACCTTCCCAGCCCCAGAACCTTAGTTCTTGAAAATCCTGAAATGCTATTCCTTAAGCCTGTGTTTCCACATAGAGCAGAGGGAGGGACAATCAGAGTGCCTCAAATTTCTTTCTTTTTTCTTTCTCCCTCTCTTTTCCCTTTTAACTCAAAGAAATAGGTGAGGTGCAACAAATCTTGTAATCCCAGCACTTGGGAGACTGAGGCAAGAGGATCATGAGTTGGAAGTCAGTCTGGCTACAAAGCAAAAAGAGACTGACAGAGGAGAGATTTAAAAACTCAGGGCTCAGGATTCTAAAACCAGGATCCTAGGGTCTGGATGCCACTGTGTTTAAAACATTGCCATGGTAGAGTTCTGCAAAACCATACAGGAAGACTGATCTTAACCAGAGAGACAAAAATGTGGTAAGGTCTATCCAAGGGCACCCAGAATCACGACTGCACTTCCTCTCCCTGGCGATTCCCAGAAACCTTTATTTGTTGGCAGACAGTACTGAAGGTAAGGGAAGGCCACTTCCGGATCCTCCCTCGGGTGTTTGTCGGGAATCCCCCAGGGGCTGGGTGAAGTTGCTAACTGCGGCTCCCCCACCCTCAGGGGGGAAAAGGAAGGTCTGAGGTAGGGTACGAGGACAAGTCCTGTCAGAGTAGGTGAGTGTGAACAGGGTCTGGGGAGAACCTAGAAGTGAAGTTGGAATATGGGAGTCAGCCTGGAAAGAGTGGGGTGCTGGCTCAGTGGCCACGCGCCTGAGGGAGCCCCACCCGTGTTCCCGCCCCCTGGGGATCCTTTGAAACTGGGAGAGGGGCTCTCATCTGGGGTCTTCCCATACAGGGGGGGGCTGTCGGTCCTCCCCCACCCAGGGCACACCCCTCCTCGGGCAGTTGCGGGGGGGCACCGGCTTCCCGCCCTGCCCCCTCCCCCCTCCGCTTTGCAGCTGTTCCCCAGCTGCCCAGCCCCACCCCAAAGACAGCTGGGAGAGAGGGGAGGAGGGGGCGGGGCCCAGCTGCGCGGCCGGGGCTGCGACTTGAAAGAGCCGCCAGGGGTGGCAGGCGGAGGAGGAGACGCCCCGCCGGGGGCCTCGCACATCTGGGCCGCAGGAGCCGCCGGGACTGTGGGGTGGGGGGACACGGTAGGCTCCACGCCCTTCCCGGAAAGGGGTGGTGGCCGGCGGGGGTGGGGGCGCGGAGATGGTGGAGGTGGGGGCGCAGGGCGTGCACCTGAGCCCTTGAGATCCGGTGGAGAGGCCCCTCTGGTGCTTTCCTGAGTGGGCCTGTGTCCTGGGACCGCTTCAGTTCTTTCTGGGCCTCCTCAGCCTTTGGGGAGATGGGCGACAGCTGCTCCTACAAAGCCAGGGACAGCTGGGTAGCTGGGACAGCTGGATGGAGTTAGCATCCCCCAGCTTTCCTGGCTGCCCAGCCTACAGCTGTGTCTCTGAGTGTGTAATTGTTGGGGGTGAGTTTCAAAGCTGGGAAGTGGTGGGGCTCAAGCCCACCCTGCTCCCTCCCACGTGCTTTCTCCAGTTGATAGGCCTGGAAAGAACCCCTCCCATCAGCTAAAACCAAACTAGGCCAAGTGGGAAAGAAACTGGGCAGCTTCCTGTCTTGGCTTCTAACTCAGCACGGAGGATGTCCCAGGGCTCCTAAAGAACTGGAGAGAGGGAATGAGGCAGGAGCAGAGGCGGGTGAAGCATCAATTTCCCCACACCTACCCAGGCATCTGCTCTCCTTGAGGTGGAGGGGCAGTGGACCTGTCATCTGCCCCCTCCCTTTTGTCCCCAAAGGGCAGAGACAAGGAGATCCATGAAGTAGAGGTCCAACCTCTTCTTGTAGGACAGGAGGAAGGCACTCAAGAGGACTTCTGTACTGGTCTGATCTGACTAGCCAAAGTCACAGCCTCATCTCTTCCAGTCTAGGTCTTTATTTTTCTGAAGGGTGATCGGGGGTCAGCACAGTTTAGATGGCTCTCAAGGAAATTAAATCACACTTCCAAGGCTTCTTGATTCCTTTCAGAAAAAGGGAGAGAACTTGGTCCCTGCAGAGATGGAACTTCCTACTAACATAGGCTCACTCAAGATGGATGCATGAGAAGCGTGAGGTAACTGAACTAAAAGCCTTTTTAAAAGTTCAGGCCTGGTAGTGTACAGCTGTCATCCCAGAACTCAGGAAGTGGAGGCAGGAGGATTGTGATTTTGAGGCCAGTCTGGGAAACAAGTGTCACAAAAATAAGGATCAGGATCTCTACAGAAAGCCATCTCCCAGTGACACACAGCTGGCAGGACCCAGGCCAGTCCCTCAGGGCTGCACTTCTCAAACCTCCTGAGGCACATCAGAATCACCAGACTTAGGAATGCGAATTCCTTGGTTCTAAGATTCCCACTGAATCTAAACTGGGCCTCAGGAATCCAAGAAGTTCCCAAGACATACTTGAGTCTTTGAGAAACTGCCAAAGGGATGGGATAGAATATCTTTTTCATCTTGCTACCCTTTGCTACCCCACCTCTACCCCTCCAGGACCAAGATCCCAGATCATCCAAGGAAGCACAGAACTAGGTGGCTTCTCTCCCCAGGGGGGAGGTGGGGGGGGGAGGGGGCCAAGCCCAGCTGCATTAAGTTCCAAAGGCCTCAGAACTGCAGTCCTGCACAGTGCCTGGTACACAGTATGTACTCAATAAATATTTGTCACTGGAAAATAGGTAAACTGTACAAGACGCACAGAAAGGTGTTTTTCCTTCATCTGTCCTAGCTAAAAAGCACATTGGCAAAAATCTCCAGGAGATACCAGGGGCCTGTGTAGCACAGGGCTGAACCTGGGAGGCCTTCAATAAATATTTGTCAAATGAACCCAAGGTCAAGAGTAGATACAGTCAAGTGCTTGAGGAATTGACATTCACAGGCCTGGATTATTCCAGATCCAGGAGGGCAGAATCAAGGCAAAAGAGGGCAAGAGTCTTAATCTTTAGAAAGCCCTTTCAAAGCCCAAAGACCCCAGGCCTGAGTGTTGGGGGTAAGAGGCAAGGCAGGGAGCGGGGCTACGCCATCGTGTTTATTAGAAGGTTGGATTTCAGTGTGTGCTCTAGACAGATTACAGAATAAATACCTGTGCCTTGAGAACAGGAAGTCCACAATTCATACAAAGTGCTCACTACAGAAACTGCGTGTCAAAATCCACATGAGGACCCAACTTGGGGCAGCCCCTCCTCCACCGACCTCAACAAGGGCTGTGCTATTGGGTTTTTTTAAAATTTTATTATTTCTTTTATTTCTCTTAATTATTATTAATATTATTATTTGCTTTTGCTGTGGTCACTATCATTGGCAAAGTTCCTTTTCCCCTTTCCTGGACATGGGGCTCTGGTGTTTGAAAGATTCCACTCTGAGGCTGAGGGTGCCAAAAGCTGCTTGAGAAGTAGCCTTTGAGTTCCATTTGGGAAGATGGTGAAAAGGAGAAATCATCCTTGGTTTAAAAACATTAAAAAAAAAAAAAAAAAAGGTCCCACAATCTATAGGTCATTCCTTACTCAATCAGTGATCAAACTGCCCAAGAGAAAACGGGAGGAGAAACGGACCAGTGGGCACTGGACCTTCCCCCAGGGACAAGTGAGGAAGGCTTCAGGGGAAACTGAGGCTCCTTCCAAGATGTGAAGGGGAGTTAAAAAAAAAAGAGCTCTGTGCCTTTAGACAGACATTTTTCCCAACTCAAGGACCACCTGCAGCCCCTGCCCCAGCTAGCTCGACTGTCACCCCCACATCCGGGGGGTGGGGGAATTCATTATTTGAAAAAAAAAACAAAACAAAAGAAAAACCCCAAACAAAACAAATTCTGAAAGGAAAAGACTTGGGGGAATGAAGTGAGGAAGGGGGAGGGGCAGAAGGGAGAAGGGCAGGTCTCTGGGTACGGAATTCCCGAGCCGCCAGGGCTGGGGGGAAGGGTCCCCAGCCCCCGCCGCCTGCGTGGCGTTAGCTTGTCACGTAGTGTTTGGTGGATGGCTGCCCATACACCCTGTAGAAATCCTGGTGGCCAGGCTGCTGGGAGGCGTCGAGCCAGTCTCTGACTGCCAAGCCAGGAAGGGACTGGGGGACGGAGGGTGCAGGCGGAAGCGGGTGCGAGTACTCCTGTGAGGGCACTGTCCAGGAGAAGTGGCCAGAGCGAGGGTAGGGCTGGTGGCCGCCATGGTTGGCCACGGAAGAACAGTAACAGTTGTCCACGGAGCAGACCAGAATCTTGCGGCCGCCATACTGGGGGAGCATGGGCTGCTGGGCGGCGGAGCCATTGGGGTACTGCGATGGGGGGAACACAGGACTCGAGTGCACTGACTGGGTGCCACCTGGCAGGGCCACCAAGTGCTGCGTGGAGCTGCAGGGCCCCAGGGGTTGCCCAGACTGGCCCTCGCCGCTGGCCGTGCCTGCTGCCCCGTACTGGCTGCCCACGGGGCCGGAGGACGTCTCTAGGAAAGTGGCCTCCGGGAAGGCCGTCGAGTGCTTGCGCTTTTCCGCCCCAGAGCCACTCATGCCACAAGGGTACAGGGGGACGCTCTGCAGGAAGGGCACCGGTGTGTTGAAAGGGCCTGTGAAGAGGTCAGGGCAAAAGATGTCAAAGCTCCCGGGCCAAGCAATCCAGGCCTCTTCTCCCCTGGACTTTGTGCCTCTCCGGGAGCAAACATGTGACTCCTAACTTTTCTATTAGGAGGCAGAGGCTACTATTCCCATTTGCCAGCTAAAGAAACAGAGGGTCAGGGAGCTAATGCAACTCACCCAAGTTCCCAAGACTAAGGAGCAAAGCTATGGTACAGAGACACGTCTACTGAACTAGGCCACAAAGCCTCTCAGGAGAGAGTCTGGCGTTTACCCGAGCCCAAAGAGCTCTCCCTTTTTAATGGTGGATGTTACCCTCACCTTCAAGCATCTTCCGAAGCTGTTTCTCCTTCTTGGCCACTTCATTCAGGAAGAGCTTGGAGTTCAAGTGGCCGATCTTAGGGGGAGAAAGGCTGCTGCTTGTGCAGGTCTGGGTCCTGGGGGCAGTGGAGGGGGGGAGGGGAGTGTCTGTGAGAAGGCATCATCAGTGAGCCCGCCCTCCCTCCAGGGGACCTGGGCCTCCCTTCCCTCCGGTATTTCCTGGAATGGTGGGGGGCACTTGCTCACCTGTCCATTAGGATTTTCACAGACTTGGTATTCTGAAGGGAAAGAAAAGTCCGTCAGTAGAAAACAGAAGACAGAAGTTATCCCTGTCCACTCTCCCTGGTCAGGGCTGACCTTTGGGGCTCTTGAAGAACACCATTTTTGCAAAGAGCTGCATTTATTGAGTTCCTGCTGTGTGACCTGTGCCACTGTAAATAAAATTCCTATGAAGCCACTGTTTCTACCCGAGGTATCTAGGGTGGGGGTGAGTGTCTGCAGGCCCTTGGCCTTTTATCAGAAGTTACTGAACCAGATGTAGTTTGGAATTTGGAATATTCTGGATTTTGCTGGGAAGATGGCTCAGTGGTAGAGTGCTTGCCTTGCATGCATGAGGCTCTTGGTTCAATTCCTCAGCACCACATAAGCAGAAAAAGCCAGAAGTGGCATTGTGGCTCAAGTGCACTAGCTTGAGTTGAAGAGCTCAGGGACAGTGCCCAGGCCCAGAGTTCAAGCCCCACAACAAGAACAAAAATAAAATTAAATTAAAAAATCTGGAATATTCTGAATTTAAAAGAAAAATATAGTCCCAGTATAGTATCATCCTAACAGGACAGCACAATCCAATCCACTAATGCTCCCGTAGCAATGCCTTTACATTTTCTTACCAATGAGATACTACTGTTCAACATCAGTCTGGTCAAATTTGCTACTAAATTAGTTGCTAAAATTTCTTTCTGCTGTTTTCAGAGATTTTTAAGTTTTGGAATAATAAACAAGAATAGACTGAAATTAACCTCATTTTACAGATGAGGTAATAAGGCTCAGGAAGCCTCTATGACCGCCCAAGGTCACAAGGCTAGGACAAGCAGGTAGGTGGATTCAAACCCATGCAAAGTAAAGGGTACGTTGGGGCTGGGAACCTGGCTCAGTGGTAGAGCACTTGCCTTGCATGCATGAGGCCTTGGGTTCGATTCTTCAGCACCACATAAGAAAAAAGCCCGGGGGCTGGAAAGGTGGCTCAGTGGTAGAGCGCTTGCCTTGCAAGCATGAGGCCCTGGGTTGGATTCCTCAGCACCACATAAGCAAAAAGAAAAAAAGCCGGAAGTGGCTGTGGCTCAAGTGGTAGAGTGCTAGCCTTGAGCTGAAGGAGCTGAGGGACAGCGCCCAGGCCCAGAGTTCAGGCCCACAACCGGACCCCCCAAAAAAAAAAAAAAGAAGAAAAAAGCCCGAAGTGGCGCTGTGGCTCAAGTGGTAGAGTGCTAGCCTTGAGCTGACAAGCTGAGGGACAGCGCTCCCAGAGGTCAGACCCCACGACCCGACTCTCCCCTCCCCCCAAAAAAAGGGGCACGTGAGCCCACTAGGGGAATTCAAGTGTAGAGTGCCCCCCGGCCCTGCCAGCACACCTTCATGAAGCTGACATCCTCTGTCTTATCGAAAAGTAGCTGCAGAGAGCCGAGCAGCTTCTTGGCTTCTTGCATTCGTTCCCCGAGGTGCAGCGCCTGCGCCGCATTTTCACTGCAGAACTTGGCCTGGGCCTTGTCCAGGACCTCCACTGTTTGCCGCAGGTCCTCATCTAGTAGCTGGTGCAGCTTCTCGTACTGCAGCCGCACCTCCTCCTTCAGCTGGCTCACCTTCTCCTGTAGGTAGTGATGAAAGAGTAGGCAGATAAACACTGGACCTAGGGTTGCTGCTGGAGTCTAGGCTGTGAGCCCCCAGCAAGTTTCCCACTGGTACCCCTAGGCTCTGTGCCAGACACCCCTCCACCTGATGGAGGGCTCTGGCATAAAGCCATATAACAGCTGGGTGCCAGTGGATTACGTCTGTAATCATTGCTAATCAGGAGGCTGAGAGATCTGAGGATCATGATTCCAAGCCAGCCCAGGCAGGAAAGTCGGTGAGACTGCTATCTCTAATAAACTACTCAAAAAGGCCAGAAGTAGTGCTGTGGCTCAAGTGGTAATATGCTAGCCTTAAGCACAAAGAGATTCAGGTGCAGTGCCCAGGAACTGAGTTCAAGCCCCAGGACTGGCAAAAAATAAAAATTAAAAAAGCCACCTACAGATAATTCTCCTGAGGCCCCACACCCTCACCCTCCACCCAGGCGCTCTGCTACCTCCACCAGGCGCTTGTCTGACTCGAGCTTGTACAGCTGGTCCTCAATGTCCTGTTCTCGCTCCTCCAGCCGGTCCTGTTGCTTCATCAGCATCTTCTGCAGGGACAGGTAGAGTAGAAGCATCAGCAGGGCCAACCTGCCCAGGATGGCCAGGCATCTCCTATCCTCTACACGCAAACTCACTCTACAAGTCCTTTCGCTCAGGGGCCCTGAAATCTGTCACCAGCCAGTCTGATACATCTGGTCCTTATGCAACTCCAGGACCTGCTCAAAATTATTGGGACAGCCTCCAATAAGTAGGAGCCTGAGTAGTTTCCCACATATATTTATTATTTTTGGTGCTGGTCCTAGGGATTAAACTCAGGACCTGTGCGCTCTACCACTTGAGCCACAGCTCCACTTCCAGCTTTTTTTGGTGGTTAATTGGAGGTAACAGCCTCATGATCTGGGGAATGGTGGATCACGCCTGTAATTCTAGCTACTCAGGAGGCTGAGATCTGAGGACTGCAGTTCAAAGCCAGCTCGGACAGGTAAGTCTGTGAGACTTATCTCCAATTAGCCACCAGAAAACTGGAAGTGGTGCTGTGGTTTAAGTGGTAGAGCACTAGCCTTGGGCCGAAGAGCTCAGGGACAGCATCCAGGCCTAGAGTTCAAGCCCCATGACCAACACAAAAACAACAACAACAACAAAAAAAAACCCCAAAAACAGTCTCACGGACTTTCTTTCCTGGGCTGGCTTCAAACTGTGATCTTCACATCTCAGTATCCTTAGTATCTAGGATTACAGGCATGAGCCATTAATACTCAGCTTCCCAAATGTTTAAACTCTGAGCTTTTTCAGGAGACTTGGGCCAGCTTTTGTTCTAGTACCAAATAATCCTAGCAATGCTATAGTTTTTTTTTTTTTGTTGTTGTTGTCAGTTGTGGGGCTTGAACTCAGGGCCTGGGCGTTGTCCCTCAGCTCAAGGCTAGCGCTCTACAATTTGAGCCATAGCGCCATTTCTGGCTTTTTCTGTTGATATGGTACCTCATGCATGTGAGGCAAGCATTCTACCACTGAACCACCTTCCCAGCCCTGACAATGCTATAGTTAATAGTAGCTAATGGTATTGGGGTTTGAACTTAGCCTGGTGTTTGCTCATTTGGCTGGTGCTCGACCACTTGAGCCATGCCTTCAGTCTGGCATTTTGCTGGTTAACTGGAGATAGTCTCTCAGACTTTTATGTCTGGGCTGGCTTCAAACCTCAATCTTCTATATCTCAGCTTCTTGAGCAGCTAGGCTTACAGGCATAATCCAGCGTCAGGTTAAGGTCAGGAACTATTATGATTGTCATTTCACAGAAGAGAAAACTGAGGCCCATAGAGCTTAAGTAATTTGTCCAAAGTCATACACAGCAGTAAGTAGCACAGACTCACTCTGGTGATTGGGCAGCAGGCTCCATCCTTATCAAAGCAAGCAACCACTCCAGGAGGAGCACTAATAGGTGAGTAGGCTGAGTTGCTGAGGATCAGATAATCTTCCAAGGGCACACAAGCCCTTGAGCTGGGCGGAAGAGCTTACCTTATGCTAGCCGTATAGTAGAGGGCAGCCTGCCAGCCACTCCCTCCCTCCCTTGCTCATAGGGCTGAGTTAGGCCTGGAATCCTGGCTATATTGTTCATCTCAGCCTGGCTATGAGACGCAAGCAGAAAGGACACTCTAGTTTTCGTAAGGCCTGAGGCCATTCTGGGGCAAGACCAAACTCTTAATTTCTCTTTTCTAAAACCCTCTTTTGCCCGCTTCAGCAGACACACCTTGCTGAAGAACTCTTTCGAATACTTCTTACCGTGGCAGTGAAGACCATTTTACATTTGACTCTCAATCCTTTAATGTCAAGCAAGTATAATGTGAGATCTTTGGCTAGGCCAGAGGCCTGGGTGATCTTGGGAGGTTATCTGATTCCTGCATTTTAGGGTACTCACCTCAAAGATGTGCCTCCCGGGCAATTTAATTCTCACCATCCTGTTAATCTTTTCCTACAGCTCACAGTGCCTCTTCTCAGAGAGATAACTCTGGGGAACTTTCTATGACCCAGCACATGTGCCTTTATGCAGGTCTCTCCCTGGTCTGGGCATGTGGTAAGGGTGTCACATTCTGCTTTCCCTCTAGAGCTGTGCTCTCAAGTATGGTGGGCACTATTTACATGTGGCTACTTAAATCGAAGTTAGTGAAAAAGAGCCAGGCTTGGTAGCTCAACAGATCTCTAATGCCAGAAATCCAGACAGAAGGCAGGAAGATTAAGAGTTGGAGGCTAGCCAGGACTACAGAGACCCTGTCCCAAACAAGCAAACGAAATCCAGCCCCAGCCTCAGTTCCTCGGTTGCTCTGGCCTTATTTCAAGTGCTTAATAGTTACATGTAGCAATTATTGGACACAAAATGTTCCCATCATAAACAACGAAGTTCTTCCTAACAGCTCTGTTTCAGCCCCCTCTTCCTTCACTCCAGTGCTTGGGGATATAACCCCTTGCCTTGTGCGTGCTCGGCAAGGGCTCTACTAAGTTAACATCCCTACTCCCTATTCTGGTGTCTTCTATTTGCCTCACAAAGTATGTTCCAAGGCTGGGAATGTAGCTTAGTGGTAGAGTGCTTGCCTCGCATGCATGAAGCCCTGAGTTCAATTCTTCAGCACCACATAAACAGTTAAAGCCAGAAGTGGCGCTGTGGCAGGTGGTAGAGTGCTAGCCTTGAGCAAAAGCAGCTCAGAGACAGTGCCCAGGCCCTGAGTTCAAGCCCCAGGACTGGTAAAAAGAAAAGAAAAAGGCAGGGCTGGGAAAGTGGCTCAGTGATAGAATGCTTGCCCTGCATGAATTAGACCCTGGGTTCCATTCCTCAGCACTATATAAACAGAAAAAGCTGGAAGTGGGTGCTGTGGCTCAAGTGGTAGAGGGCTAGCCCGGGTTGAAGAACTGAGTGACAGCGCCCAGGCTCAGAGTTCAGGCCCCGTGACCAAAAAAAAAAAAAAAAGGTACCACATAAACAGAAAAAGCCAAAAGTGGCGCTATGGCTCAAGTGGTAGAGCACTATAGCCCTGAACTTTGAAGTTCAGGAACAGAACCCAAGCCCTGAGTTCAAGTACAGGGACCAGCATAAACAAACAGACACTCTTAGACACTGAGAACAGGACTTCGCTGCTGTTGTTTTTCTTCACCTCCCCCCTCACTTATTTTCTTTTTTTTTTGGTCAGTCATGGGGCTTGAACTTGGCCTGGGCGCTGTCCCTCAGCTCTTCAGCTCAAGGCAAGTGCTCCACCACTTGAGCCACAGTGCCACTTCCAGCTTTCTGGTGGCTTATTGGAGACAAGTTTCACAGGCTTTCCTGCCCGGGCTGGCTTTGAACCGTGATCCTCAGATCTCAGCCTCTTGACTAGCTAGGATTACAGGCGTGAACCACCAGCGCCCGGCTTTCCACCTCCCTTTATAGTCAGACCTTACTAGCCTGATTGTGCAATAGCTATAAAACATATTTACTGAATAAACCCAGGGGTTTTGCACATAAATTAAGTTGGTGGCCGGGTGCTGTGGCTCACACCCATAATCCTAACTACTCTGGAGGCTGGGATCTGAGGATCACAGTTCAAAGCTAGCCCAGGCAGGAAAGACCAGGAGACTCTTATCTCTAATAAACCACCAGAAAACTGAAGTGGAGCTGTGGCTCAAGTGGTAGAGCCTTGAGCTGAGGAGCTCAGGGTCAGTGCCCAGGCCCAGAGTTCAAGCCCCATGACCGAGAAAAAAAAAATTAAGTTTGCAAAGCAGCTCTGCATAACTGTAAGCATCCACGCAGCAAGATGGTTCCTTCTGCTCAGTGTGGGCCTCAAAGTAACTCTTGAATTTGGCCTATGATCTCCTCCTCACTATACCCAACTGACTTCCCAAAGACAAAATACTACCATTTTTTTCCTCATTCCCCAAACCATTTTACTTATGGGGAAGCCAAGACCAGCAAGAGACTTCAGACAGAACCTTTTTGTGTATGCAGCTTACTCAGAAACAAAGAACCAGGATGCTGGGGCACCAGGAGGTGGGATGTGATAAAGTTGGGGTCCTCCCCTAGGTTGCATGACATCACTGACCCAGCAGATTTCACCCTGGCTCCTACCCTAGCTCACAGTGTGTGTTGGCTTGAAGGACAGGTCAACAGTAAATCTGATTGTGCAGGGGCAGGAAAAAAGGGGTGCCCACATCCATGCAGCCACGTACATACCCTCGGCCCTGAGCAATGCCCTTGTGTATTTTCATCTACACCCAACTCATTGCACAGTGATCGGTGGGTGGCTTGGAGTCTTCAGACAATAGAGGCCATATGTAGAAACATGAGGCGTTCTTGCCTTCCCTGTGATAAATGGCCCTCAAACTCTTGGCTGCCACTGCCCAGCCCCACACCTGGGACAAGGCTGCTTCCCAGGTGCATCTTAGAATCCAGGCCACACCTGTCATCTCAGGGTCCTGGACATCTGACAGCCCAAGCCACTACTTATTCATTAGTCTTATGCCCCAATCTGCCTCTCAGTTACGCCTGGATGACCAACCACCCCATCAGGAACAGATTAGAGGATGTACTAGGCCGAGTCCCAGGTTTCCAGTCTAGCCTCACTGGGAGACCAGGAATGAGGCTGGCAGGATCCCATTGAATAGGCCAGAGGAAGCCCCTCCCCCAACCATCTCTGAAGCCCTCCAGTTCACAGCTGATCCCTCAGCAGGAAGGAGAGACGCACCTCCAGCCCCTTCCCTCATCCTCTAGGCATTCAGGGTCTCCATGTCCTTCCTTAGCCCTCTGAAAAAGGGAGAGAAGCCTAGGCAGGCCTTGCAACAGCAGTGGCCACACTCCCTAGAAGGGGGCTCAACTTCCTCCCCATCTCAGGGCCACAGGCTCCTAGCTCAGATGCAGGGGTTGAGAGAGGAAGGAGAAGCTAGCCAGAGGTGGCTGCAAGCCAGATGGGGCTGGGAGGCCCCGCTGGCCAGTTTAGGCTTTCAGGACTGCCTTTCTTCTTCCCTCAGGGCCAAGTGATCTTAATCCTGCTACGGACCCCTGGGACAAGGAGTTTATTTCTCTACTTCC